ATGAGAATCAAACACAGAACAGTACTGGCGTTTCCCAGAAACACACTGACAAGCACAGGGTATCAGACACTTTTTCAAATGGGTGACACATGTGAACGCACCTTTGTTCACGAGAGTGACCTTGTCCTCTTTAGTTGTGAACCATGCCTGGCTGACCGGCGAGGCCTCCTCAGGCTTCTGAGGCGAGTGTGTATCATCGTTCTGCAGTATCTGGCAACCAAGATGAAACGTTAATCTGACGCCATCCTGGTATTCATCCTATTCATAAAGAAGCTAGATCTCTCCCCTCTTCGCTTTTCGAGGGGACAGCCAGCTGACAGGCACGTGTCGTCCAATCACACTTGCTCACAGGGAGTCGAAAACACAACAGGAAGTGACGAATACCTGGATCTGGGCCACAGCACCCTCGCTCATGTCACCCTCCGTCATTTCCGTCGTGGCCGTCATTGTCACCTCAAAACTTTCATCGTTCTCTGAAACTGAAGAAAGGATTGGACCACTGTCAGACTGCTTTTAAGCTTAGGAAGTCTTCATTTATATTATGGAGTGGGCAAAGAAAAATTAATAATAATCACTGATATGTTTATGGTGAAAATTAGAAAAAACAAACATGAAGAACAAATGTTTGAGGCTGGTGTAAATTCACTGGCATCCTGGCTCACTGGGGAGGGTGACGACAGAGATGCGTGGGGCAGAGCCGGAGACGTGAAGCTCATCGTCATTGGACAGGCACAGCCTTTTGTGGGCAGGCTCCAAGCTCTCATCTGGTCCAAGGTGCTCCGCTTCTGCAGGAATGGAGACCAATGTGACTGAGGGCCAGCAGGTGGCACGGTGGAGAACGACGGGCTTGTGGCTGGTTCAGCTGTCTTTTGAAGAACACCTTGAAGTGTAGGCCTGTCACTATAATTACGTTTAGAATTATTGCACGATATTTGGACATAACCACAATATTTTTTTCGTATCTCAATACTGGCATTTTTTTTTCCATAAGAATGAACATTTTAGCCAGTTGCACTGCTTCTGCTCTCTGGCTCACGGCTGGTCTTCACTTCATGTGGAGGTGTGAGCACTGCGGCGCATGCTCCATAGCGTTAGACCGTCTGTGATGCCCAATGGTCATACTTCTAGCGCCAATGCGCCAGGCAGCCATGTACTTTGACATCAGACCTGGGGCAGCTCTGTAGAGCAAAGCTGCTCTTAAAGGTAACGTTTATGAGGTGTCGTATGGATGTTATACGAATAAACAAGAATATCACTAAAACGAACCGTCCACTATTTACTTACAGCATGCAAGGCAAGGTTATTATCGTTAATGAAAACATTTACATAAACTGAAATAAGATATCAAAATAAAACAAAAACAACAACTAAACAATAACTTAAATATTGCTTCGGAAACCAAGTCAAATAAATAAAAACAAACATCAAATACTTCCTGTTACCGTTTGTAAACACTGTTTAGCTGAAGTAATGAATTGTTTGCCTCTCGTGCAATGCACCTGACCCATAGAAAAAGCTAATGGCACCACATTGAGACATTTTTTAGTAGTCCACAAGTCCTACAACTTACTGTTTATCCTTAGAAAAAAATTAAATTAAAGCCTATTAAAGCCTAAAGTAAAACATAACAACTAAATAGATTTACATCTTTAAAATAAAAACTGAGACCACACCTAAAATTAACTTAGATTTCAAATGAAAATAACTAATAATATAAAACTAAATAAATTCAAAATCATAACACTACAGTACAAACATGTTATTTTATTTTAGTTTCTGGCCACTTGGCCATATTATTTATGGTCATGTAGCCAGGAATCATACAAGTGCTGGTATTTCCAGACTTTCTCAATCAACCATTCTTCAAATTCACTAGTCATTTTTGGTGTCATTTGGATCACAGAGGGTAGAAAAGGTGTTTATATACCATCTTCAGTCCGACTACTTCCTGACTTCCTGCTACATTTTCCCTGGCCAATGAACAATTGAGGATCATTTGCGTCACTGGGCGGAGCCTCCGCAAATCTGGATTGGCAGTATACTCCCTGTAAAGGAATGAATGACTCTCTAAACCCTTGTGCCAAATGATTGATATTCAGGGCAATTTTTGTTAACAGAACTCAAGAGTCCATTTAATCTATTTTTGGTTATGTGGTTTTATTTATGTTGTGTTTCTTTAGCATAGTTACATTTCTATATCCCAATTCCGATGTCTAAATATCCTAAAGAACTGAAAGTCCATTGCTCTTTAAAAAAGTGTTCTTGCATTATAATCCTATTTTATTATCATTACATTAGCAGCATAAAATGCTCTTAAAATGGCAATACTATTCTTTACTCTGATTATATTGGGTACAATATATCATACAACTAAAGCAGTCATGATGACAGCCCTATTGAAGAGGTTCTCTGTCAGGAGGATCCCCTGGCTCAATATTTAATCTAACACAGTACCTATAAATTTTTATCGGATCATGTCCAACAATGAACAATTAGTCCCCCACTTTTAAGAAGTTCCTCTCACCATTTTGAGGGCAGTGCAGAATGATATTCCCTTCCGTGTCCTGGGTTAATGTCACGGAGTTTACTGCTTCCAGAGTCACTGTGCCAGACTCATCCTCTATTGTGTTCATGCTCAACCTATAAAGTGAAACGTGCATCACTCAGTATGCATGGGTGTGATGGCACAACAGTTTTATACTGATATTACAGAGCCTTGATTTATCATTATGCCGATACAATGATGCAATGAAGGGGAAAACACACAATTAAGCAGAAACCGGCAAACAAACCTTGACAAGCAATTTGAAAACGCATCCAAATCGACCTTTCTCAGTTTCTGTGTCTGATGTTAGTATCCAGGTAACATTTTGATAACAGGGAAATCCAGTTAATCTGGCATCCTGACCAGTAATTTTAAGTGCACAAAGGGGCATTAAGGCCAACCAGAACCTCAAGGGGTTTCCACCGTGAGAGATATCATCTGTTTGAGGTGCCCGGCCAAGCTCGACCCAGCCCGGCCGAGCGCAGCCCAGCCCGGTGGCCGATCCCCGCACCCATCGCTCCCTCAGAAGGGCACATCGGGAGTGGCGGGGTCGTGTGGGGCTTTTCTAAAGAGAAACAGCGACACAAAGTTTCTCTTTACGCCCCGTCGCCATATTTTCTCAAGCGGCCAAAGGGCTGCGGCTGCAGTAGCCGACAGGCTAAAGAAGGAGGAGGAGGCGGAGGGAGAAGAGCCGCCAGGGCACCATACGCGCGTTTAAGGCGCTCCGGCGCCGTCCCGGACCTCGGCTTCGCGGTACGCAAGCCCCCGACGAGACACTCGACTTTGGGGTTTGGTCGCGATACTTACTTCCTGTTTTGGGTCCGGGCACTTCGAAGAGACCAGGATGAAGACAAATACCAGGATGGAGGAACAAAAAGCCTCCGCGCGCAGATCGGAAATGAACGCCAGCTCTTCGCGCGTCAGTTCCTGGTCCTGGCAGCGGTGTTCTTTTTATATGCGGGAGGGGAGACTAGTGTAATTCGAATTAAAGGTAGGGTGAATACATGTCATACGCGACGCGTAAACGCCATTGTGTATATTTTTGACTCTAGCAAGACAAATCAATCATTATCATTTACCAAGTATTGCAATGGCACGATGTGATATAATCACGTGACGTAACGGAAGTGAGGTCACGGATATGGGTGGGGTAACAACCAAAGAGGAAGTTTCCGGACTACGGCGAAGGTAAAGTTTAATGACACAGGGATTCGCTTCGATATTGAGATTATTCATGTATCAGACTAATAAATGTTCCTAATTGGTATGAGATTTTGTATATGACATTCTTATTAAATAAAAGCAGAATGTATTGGTGAAATGATGTTTTTGGTGTCCCGTTGAATCATTTTTAACATCTCCCACTTTACAAAGCACAGTAGTTCTTCAAATGCAGATACTGAGATAGGATGCATGTTAAGTCTAATTAAAATATTAATTCCTCACAGGTGCCTGTTCTTTACAAATATTGTTGCTTTGAATTAAATAACAAGCAATAAAGCTCCATTTTGTCCATCTGAAATATGCATGTTGTATAATTGTTTTTGCTTTAATAAACATATACTACATGACACATTGTGACTTTTGATGTTTATTTAATCATTGGGAATCTAGAAGCCCTAACTTGAGAGTCTTAAATAGAGTTCATTTAAGTGGATGACAAATATATGTTAATAAACATGAGGGTGGGGTGAGGCTCAGTGGTCGTGATTGGAAGGTGTCCTTTTCATATCACGGGGCCAGCAAACTGATGCCACCGTTCGGCCCCCGAGCAAGGCCCAGGGCTGCTGAATGCTGGCTCACCCTCTGCTGTGACCCCCACGCTTGCTCTCACCTCTGTATGTGTCTGTGTGTCCCATGGAGTGCAAGATCTATTCTAAAAATTTAAATTAATCAAAATATTGACTATTGGGTAGAATATATACAGTTATGGCAGGACTGTCTCCATTTTTACTTAAGGCTCTAGACAAAGCTTAACTCGAGTGGCCCCCCTACCAGGAAAACTGATTTCATTTCTTACAAAGCGCAGATAATACGTGAGCCGAAGGGAACTTCTGGTTCTGCCTACAGCTAAAGGCAGCCCTTCTTTATTAATATGCGCATTAAGGTTATGGCCCTTGGAATTTGCCTCAATAAATTATTATATGGCACATTTTGTAGTTTGATGGCCAAAATTCAAACCGAAAAAAATGTTTTTGCACAAAGAGCAAACAACGTTTGTTTATGTGCTTTTTTTTGGGCAATGCATAATTGTTTATTTAAATGAATGTATAAAACCGCCTAAATGGTATGACAAATTCCGTCCATCCAGGACAGTATAGCTAACTACATAGTACACAGCAACTACGGACAGCGGCGGTTAAGCCAGACAGCATAGCGGTATGTGAGATTTACACCAGTTACGAGTGACTGTAAACCATCATAATAGCCATATAAATCTACAGACATATAAACCAACAGAAAGTAAATCCAGCATATTTCACAGGATGTCGGTGATTCACATGATACATGTATTTACCCCATAATATAGTGCTGAAAGGACAGGTTAAATCAGCGGCTCCTTCGCCTGCGGTGTCCCCACCTTCGCCGAGCGGCTCTAACGTCATATCTTCTGGATGTGTTGGGGGGGGTGGCTAACACAGTTTGGAGCCGATTAATGTTCAGATACACCGACCTGAGTGTAGGGGGTGCTTTTTAAACGCAATGGCACTCAGGAATTGCTTGGGACTGCAATGCGTTTTAACGGTTTTTTATTTAATATCTCCTTCCTGGATGTCCTGCGCTTTCTTGCTGGTTACGGCGGCCGGGGACCTTCCTCCATGCACCGAGGTAACATCTTGACCCGCTCTCCGTTATGCATGCAAGTTAGCCGCTTTACTTATATTCAACCACATTTCATAAAATCACTGCAGCACAGTACAAGTCGGCCTCTTTACACGCAATTAAACGCTTTATAATGCCGATAAATTGTATTTGTTCTATTTTAGCAGGAGCCGGTATGTGCAGATTTGTAAATTAATTTTTATTCTCCAAAATCACAACTTCAGATTAAGACAATATTATGCGAGCCGATTAACGAGTCCGATGAACAGAATGCGTTAGTAAATACTTAAATAAATATGTAAAATCATAAATATTATTTCCATAGACACTGGGAGTATTTATATGGCAAAAACCCCAATATTCACCTTACATAATAACTTTTCTCTGTTTTCATCACGCAAATAACACTTGGTCACCTCATAGTACAATCAATATGAAATTAAAATAATACTTTTAAAAGTAGCATACTTTTATAAATCACAGCCCTTTTTGGGAAATCATACTTCATAAAACATACACCCGAGTTCGCTGCTAGATCTCCTCAATCTATAAATAGGTAGTGCTTTTAAAGACACTCTTACTACTGCATCCTTGCCAGCTTTCAAATCCGATTATGATTAGATGAGAGAAAATGGTACGGATACTCGATCCTCATCGTTTCTTTTTTTGTAAGCCATGGACTTATGTGTATATAGGACATTTATAGGTGTGAACAATTAATTAAAGCTTGTTGAAACTGACGTCGTATAGGCCTACATTTAATACAGTTTAAAAATACATCGCCGAAAGGAGAAACGGCGAGTCCTTCGGGGTAATTAAGGCAAATTGTGAACTAAAAAAAAAGAAAACATACAAGCCTTAAGTCCAAAAGCGACAGTATTAACCCACCATCCTATGGGGGGCAGTTATTAGGGTCCACGCCTCCATGATTTGAGGTGTCCTATGAACGACTCCCACAAACTTACATTCCGGCGAGTTTTTCCTTTGCTTTATGCCAGCTCAGCAAATGTACGCCATGCTTCCTTTTTATTATTTTCAGCGTTTCTCTGTTTTGGTGCCTTTGAAATTCTACCGTTTCTGCAATTTACCTGCTATCACCCGCAGTCGGTCATATTCTGTTATATTGTACGTGTAAGAAAGCGAGCAACAGGCATGAAGGATTATCTCCCTCCTTCCTGGTTTCACCCAGCAGAAGAGGTTGGCCAGCTGGTAAACATACGGCCAAGACAAAGATTTGGGCAAACAATGCCTGTAGAGTAGACTGGCGGTATTCCACAAAGCAGGACTTCTTCCTTAGCCAGACAACAGAAGTCCCAATCTGGAGTATAATTAAGATATCTGAGAAAGCGTGCCTGCTGGGCTCGAAAGCTCGCACTGATGCTGCCCTGTGCTGCACATACCAAATACAAAGCTTTCATTGCACACTGTCTTATTTCCATGGTGTAGTCCAGACCTCTTTCTTACCAGCTATCTCATGCCCCTTCCTATGATTTACAGGAAGTCACCCCCCTTTTCTTGCCAGGACAGGGATAAACACTCTGGCCTGGTTATCCAGCAGTTCGATGGCATCGGATTTACAGGGGGTGTCCGTTTTCATCACCCGGCTCATTTTTCATGGAAAAGTGCATCACACATAGAAAAAAGGAATGCCAGCTTCTCTTTGTGGCTCCAGATCAACGTTAAGCCCATTATCGCTAAAATTAGAGACAAATTTTGCTCTCAAAATAATCCTGTATAAAGGGATTATTTATGGTTCAGCTGTATGCAGTACTTATGGTCGATTCACACAAGATGAAGTGTATCAGTCTATCATTTTCAGTGGTTTTATCTAATTGTAAAAATGCAATACAACAAACTGGCTTAGTGTGAACCTATGATTTGCAGACCCAGCAGGGGTTGGAGGGTTGGGGGGGGGGGGCACTCAAACCAGGAATCGTTCCTCTTGCACCCACACAGTGCTGAACCAGGCAGCGCAGGTCCCAGCCACTGGCCTTCTTATTCCCGTCTGCCTGAGTCACACTATCAGCTTCCTGCAGGGAGGCGCCCTTCCTTCCTGCTCCCTGACAGCTTTCTTAAGTCATTACACAGGAAAGATTGCGCTCTGTTTTCCTAGAGTGAAGCCAAATGGCATCGGAAGGTGGTGCAGCAGCACTTTGGTGACGCTTTACGTCCCGTGTGTGCTGGACGTTGTGGGCTCCCTCTTCTCTGCTGGTACCTTACTGGGCTCACGGTCCCACTCACTCCTTGCAGACGGAGTACTATTTTGAGTACACAGAGTGTGACAGCACTGGCTCGCGCTGGAGAGTGGCCATCCCTCGCGAAGAAGGCACATGCAGCGGCCTCCCCGACCCCACCCGCGGGACACAGTGTGGTAAGGGCAGCTGGTGGTGTGCTTGTGCGTGTCAGTGTTTGGGATGCCTGTCTGTCTGCATGTCTCTGTCTGTCTGTCTCTGTATGTCTGTCTCCCAGTCTATCTGCCTGTCTGTCTGCATGTCTCTGTNCGGCCCATTCTTCCTCCTCGGTCCAGGAGGGGGGGCTCACAGACCATCCCGTGTCCTGTCTGCTCACAGACCGTCCGGTGCCCTGTCTGCTCACAGACTGTCCCATGCCCTGTCTGCTCACAGACCATCCCGTGTCCTGTCTGCTCACAGACCGTCCTGGTGCCCTGTCTGCTCACAGACCGTCCCGTGCCCTGTCTGCTCACAGACCGTCCTGGTGCCCTGTCTGCTCAAAGACTGTCCCGTGCCCTGTCTGCTCACAGACTGTCCCGTGCCCTGTCTGCTCACAGACCGTCCGATGCCCTGTCTGCTCACAGACCGTCTGATGCCCTGTCTGCTCACAGACCATCCCGTGTCCTGTCTGCTCACAGACTGTCCCGTGCCCTGTCTGCTCACAGACTGTCCCTTTGATGGCCCCTCTTCCAGACAGTAACTTGGTTCATTCACCACCTCCTCTGTCCTCTATCAGCTGAAACACAAACTTCTCATCAGTAATTTATGGGTAACAGCTGTTTCTTTGTCATTTACATAAACTCTCAGGTGCCACCAGCAGGTGTGACTGTGTTTCACTTGTCACCCTTAATGGTGGTTAATTGTAACAGCTGGTAAAGCATGCTGACCCTCGGGGCATAAATGTTTTTTAATGTGGACCAGATCTGGCTTTAGCATAAAGTCAAATATTTGACCCTCTTGGCATTTGCAAGCTGTATTAGTTTAGCTGTCCTCCTCTGGGTGGTATATGGTTGGCGGGGAGGGGAGATGATGATCTGAGAGGTTGGCAGTGAAAAGGGCAGCTTGGAGATGTGCACACTTCACTGTTGTCCTGTCATAGAATGGTTGGTTTGTAGATCAAGTCCATCAAGGTCCATCGCCAAGTTGTCTGCTCCCTTACTTCTCGTCTGCCCTCATCTTGCTCGTGAGTGCTATGTCATTTTTATCAAGAAATCCAGGCCTGTATGATCTGATACCTCCCTCAATCACAGGCTTCTCCTGCAAGGCCGGTGAGTTCCTGGAATTGTCGACCCAGCAGTGCACAAAGTGCGCCCCTGGGACCTTCTCCCTGGGCAGCGGGATCCGTTTCGATGAGTGGGACGACATTCCTGCTGGCTTTACCAACGTGGCCACCTACACGGAGGCTCATGACAACAGCGAGGGCGAAGTCCAAACATGCCACAAGTGAGCAGGTGTCGCTGTTGCATCTGGATGACAGTCCTGGCCTCGCAATAACTATGGATCCGTGTGGATTTCTGTCAAATGCTTTTGCATTTGCTTCTAGGATCATGCTCAAAGTAAATAGGAAAAATAGTGTAAAAACAAATAACAATAAAAATACCAAGAAGAATAATATAAGCTGATAAAAGTTAAAAAGCTATGATATGAGTAGCTGTTATTTTCTGTGTTTACCTGAGAAGTGAGGATTCATGTGAAGTGTGTGACACTGGCCTGTCTCTACTTGGCCTGTTTTAGCGTTTAACTTGCCTGAGGGCAGAAAGCTGTCCTGCTGTAGGTCGCTGGTAGAAGATGATGCTTCACTTGCCTTGACTTGTTTTGGTCCTCACCGTGTCATGAGGATGCCCCCCTGATTCCCATCACACACGCTGTGGTTCCTCCACCTTCTCCCCAGCTCCTCATGGACCCCCCAGGGCAGCTACTTGGAGTCAAACCAAGATGAGTGCATGGTGTCTCTGATCTACACAGTTCACTTGACAAAGCAGGGCTTTGTCTCCTTCGAGTACCAGTACGTGGATGGCAACATCATTTTTGAATTCTTTGTGAGTATTTGTCTATACCACTAATGAAAAATGCAATCTCCTGCAACCTTGGCCAATATAAGATCCTGGACTATGGAAGGATATATGAGTTGGGAGTAGTTGCTTGACTTGATATGTCATCATCATTGAACCAAGGTGTGGATTTCCAGATCCAGAATGACCAGTGCTTGGAAATGGATCAGTCTTCTGACCAGAAGTGGATCAAACTTAGCAGTAATGGAGACTGGGCCTCTCACACGGTAAGTGGCAGGTCCTGGGCTCTGGAGGGCTCTCTCCATCATCCCCATGATGACGACATCTCCCTACTGATCTCTGCTGTAGGTTAACTTGAAATCAGGCACCAATATCCTGTACTGGAGGACAACTGGAATTCTGTTTGATGCCAAAATGGTGAAGCCAGTGCTGCTGAAGAACATTCAGATTGAAGGTAACAGGATCCTCATGGTGCTGAACACTACTGTGGGGTGTCCACTGGTGCACCCACTGGCAGCATCCTGCTTTAATGGTGGATCTCTCACTTTCAGGGGTTGCCTACATGTCGGAGTGCTTTCAGTGCAAGCCGGGCACCTTCAGCCGCACGGCCGGCTCCTCCGTGTGTGAGCTGTGTCCCAGGAACACCTACTCTGGCAGGGGGGCCAGCTCCTGCACCGCCTGCAACCTGGAGGTGGCCTACGCCCGTATGTACCCCAGCCAGAACCAGGACGCACTGGGAATGTAGCTGACAGCGTGACTGTCTTTGTTCTACAACATTCTGAGAGTCCTGTTCAGGAACAGTAAATGTAAATAACAAGTGGAGCGGCTAAAATGTCTGTCTGTCTGTCTGTCTGTCTATCTATCTATCTATCTATCTATCTAATCTAAAGGGTGAGTGACTTGTAAATTAACTGAACATCCTTAGCTGATCAGAGTAACACAACAAAAGGGCTGACTGACTGTGGGTCATGTTGGCTTTGTGCTGGCTGCTGGGATTTTCAAAAGGCCTATGCCAAGATGCCAGTGACTCACACAGGAAGCGGGATGGTCAGGTGGTCAAGGAGACAGCACTGAATGTCCTGGAACAGCTGCTGTGACATTGACCCTTAATCTGGCTGCATTGATGGAGAACACTGTCACACAAAAAGTGTTTTGCTGGAGGGCCGAAATAATGAAGGTTTGCGTCCACAGCTGAGGGGGCCGCGGAGTGTCGAGGGAGACCCCCCTGCATCAGGAAGGATTACTTTGAAATCCACACGCCATGCGACAGTGAGGGCAAGGTGACATCCTCCCGCCATACTTCAGAGAATGTATCTGTGGAAATGACACTGTGCAGCATACCCATGAGTTTATGTAGGCTGGTCACCAGCTTGTGGATTTGTGCCATAGGAGAAAGGCAGCTAGTAATGGGGTCCCAGCTGACTCCACAAGTAAGGCTGATGTTTGCAAAGGTCACGCACCTGTCTCTGCAGCAGCAAGCTGACCGATTCTCCATTAGTTCCATGTCCTCCTGCCCATGCTATGTTTGACTTTCTGTCAGCATGGCAGAGGACCATCAGAGATCAGACATGGAGGGTTTCGAAGACAGAAAAGCCTAACCAGGAGAAGGTGTTGATGGATGGATACATTTCATTTAATTTAAAATTTATAATATTGGATGGAATAATGATATTCAGTAAAAAACAGGGATGTGCCTGTACTGATCACGAAACCCATAACAAATGTACCCAACAGGGTGCTTGCAGAAGAAGTAGATGGTTAGATTTCTGAGGTGAGCTTCTCTACATGTTTCCAGACCCAGATCATGTACAAGTGGATTGAGCCAAAGGTTTGCATAGAGAACATGACGGATGCAGTGATGCTGCCCCCGTCTGGCAAGCGACAGGCGTGTCCACCCTGCAACCCAGGTTTTTACAACAACGAGACGGGATCCTGCTTGCCCTGCCCCCTCGGGACCTTCTCAGGTGGCACAGACGGTGAGTCCTGACCGCAAACACCCTTAAACCCAGTAGAGGTCTAGCAGGCCAAAGGATGGAAGCTTGCATTCCGCAAATGTGTTTCATGCAAATTCTAATTTCCTTTCATAATCACCTGAAATCATAATTAGCTCCTATTGCTTGTGTTGGTGTTGGCAGGCCATTTTGACATGTCAATGCAAAACTTTTGTGACTTTTGATTGATGTGGTTCTGCGATGGCTGCTCTTTCACAGCAGCCGATAATATATCTGCATGTGGTGCCCCTTGGGTGTGCAGGGGGCATTCTGCTGTCTGTGTACCACAGTGGGGTGGGGGGGGGAAGGGGGGGCTCTTCATAAACACTCTAAATGTGCTGGAGCATCACAATGGTCAGCATCGGTGCTCAGGTGCCCTCAATGCCCTCAATGATGTGCTGTGATGTGATGTAATGTGTCCCCCCCCCCCACCCAAGGACGCTGCCAGCAATGCCCTGCTGGCACAGAGCCAGTCCTTGGATATGAGTACAGGTGGTGGAACGTGCTCCCATCCAACATGAAGACCTCCTGTTTCAATGTGGGAAACTCCGATTGCGACCAGATGAACGGTGAGTGTAATGCAGTACCAGCTTGTGGGGCCTAGATGGCACTGTGGTGTCACAAGAGTGGGATGGAGTCACAACAAAACACCACAGCACGCTTGCATCGCACCAAGACAACCTTTAAAAGAGGGTGTTTATTTATCTTATTATTTTAGCATTAAGAGCCACTTGTTTACGACATTCCAAGAGAGGGAAGGATGGATTTAGCTAGGAATAGCAGACGACTACCAGGACTACCCCATGTGACATGCGATGATCGTGATCTGTGACCATTTTCCACCGAACGGTGTTCAGGTGTGGAAATGACCGGGACAGGAGCGAGGCGTGGCACCTGAGCCAAGTGGACGCTGTCCCTAGGTGTCCTTAAATGTCTCACCTGTCCTCCAGCCAGCATTTAAATTCTGATTTGTGCTGGACCAGGAATTACAGGCACTGTAAATATTCAGTGTTGTCTGTTAAATACAAGGGTTGTTCCCCATGTTTACCGGCCTCTGATGCTAGTGTTACTTGCCTGGTCTGATGCTAACATTGACTTTGTTGGGATGTGCATGATGCTCTTGACTCTCGGGTCCACAAGCCTGGGAGGTGGCTGGGGACCACATTCGGAGTGGAGTGGGCAGCTTGGACAATGATTACCTGATCCTGAACCTCCGCATCCCGGGCTTCAAGTGAGTCCCACGCAGGAGCAGCTGGATATACTAACACTGCACTCATATATCTCCATGTATGCACAGAGCAGCAGCCCCATTCCTGTCCTCAGCCCTGTCCCCAGCCGCATCTACAGCCATGTCCTTAACCCCATCCTAAGCTCTTTCCCCAGCCCTGTCCTCAGCCCTGTCCCCAGCCGCATCTACAGCCATGTCCTTAACCCCATCCTAAGCTCTTTCCCCAGCCCTGTCCTCAGCCCTGTTCCCAGTCCCGTCCATGAATAATCAGTAACCTTGTGTCACCTCCACTGCTACCCACACATACCTGTATATTTCTGTCACTGTCTCTATTTATTCCTGGGATTCTGGTCTTATTTATTTACTTATTTATAATTCACTTTATCATTACATTCACTTGTCGTCCTGTTGTCTATCCGTCTTGTTGTCTATGTTCACTGTCTGCAGGAGCACATGCAAGCAAGCATTTCATTTTACACGGTACTCATACATCTACACATGACAATAAAGCAATTGAATTGAATTGAATTGATCCTGTCCCCTGTCCTGTCCTCAGTACTGTCCCCAGTCCCATCCTCAATACTGGTCCCAACAGTGTCCCCAGTCCAACACCTCTCCTTTGCAACCACACTGGGATTTTAACCCATGCTTTTCTTTGTGCTTTCCCCATGCTTTTCCCAGGCTTCCGACATCGGCGATGGGCAGCACAGGCGATGAGATCGGTCGCATTACCTTTGTGTTTGAGACTGCATGCTCTGCTAACTGCGAGCTCTACTTCATGATGGTGCGTGGATCTCGGCTGCCAGCTGATGAGCGATGGCCCATGGCAGGATGACCAGGGTCTTCGTGTCTCATGGGGATCAGTTCTGTAGGGGGTGTGGTGGTGCTTCTCTGCCTCAGGCAGTCTTCACCTTGAGTGAAGATATGGCCGCCTGTGTCCATCTGTATTGGCTGATGTTTCACTATGGAAAAAAATGGACATCCAATGGGAATGGTGAGTTTTGGTGAAAATCTAGTCCAGGCATAGCGATGATGGTGACTGATTCTCAAGTTTATCCTGCAGGACATGAACAGGAAGAGCACCAACATTGTGGAGTCGTGGGAAGGAAGCAAGGAGAAGCAGTCGTACACCCACATCATTGCCCACAATGCCTCAATGTCTTTCACATGGGCATTCCGGAGGACCAACCAGGCACTTGATGTGAGTCAGGAGAGAGTTCGCACGGAGCCATTGGCTGCCATTCTGCAGAGTTCTTACGGTACTGATGCTGTTTTTTGCTTAGAGGGTTTTTTTTTTATCTACCTCAGGGCAGGCAGTTTGTCGATGATGTTGTGAAGATCTACTCCATCACGGTCACCAACGTTCTGGGCGGGGTTGCCACTTCTTGTCACACCTGTGCCCTGGTGTCCCAGCAGCCGGGCTCCTCCTGCATCCCCTGTCCAGCTGGACACTACATCGATGTGGACACCAACCAGTGCAGGGAGTGTCCCCCCAACACCTACCTGTCCGGGCACCTTATCTATGGCAAAGGAACCTGTATTCCCTGCGGCCCAGGCAGCAAGAGCAACAAGGTAGGTGAACATCTCACCTGGGTGTGTGAGAAGATGATCTGGTTTGCCATTGCTGCTTTTCACAGGTCCATATGTTTAGAGAAAGATCTCGGGCTGCAAAGCCTGCCATTTTTTTGCTAAATCTTCCTAGAGTGTCATGGAAACAGACATTTGCAGTCATGTCATGTTTGCACTGTCTACGTTCTTGCCTCGGCCGGTTCCACATGTAGCGCTATGGCATGTGGTCCCCACTGCTGCCGTCCCTGGCTTATTGACTTGTCAAAGCCATTTCCTCTAACGCCTTGTGACCCATGTGTTTTTTGTGGGACGGTTTTGGCATGAGGCGACAGCGTACCAGGGAGGCAAGCAGCTAAGTTGTTTTGGAATGGGATGAGAGAGTTGACCAGACAATGGCTCCCTTGTGTGCAGACGGCATTGGACTGCCGCCGCTCTCCACAGTGCTGATCCCGTGTGTCCCCAAGGCTCTCCTTAATGCTGCTTTTGTTGCCTCCCTTTTCCGGCAAAGGAGCACTCTGCCTGCTTCAGCGACTGCAGCTTCTCCCACGTGGCAGGAAAGCGGACCCTGACCTACAACTTTAGCCGGATGGGTCCAGTGGCCTCCATCGTGAACGGGCCCAGCTTCACGTCCAAGGGCACCAAGTACTTCCACTTTTTCAAGATCAGCCTGTGTGGGCAGGAGGTAAAGCCCTGCTGGCCGAGGCCCATTGATCCCTGGTCTGGGGACCAAACCAGGCTTCAGATCTTGTCTATTTATATTAGATTTTGTTCACAAGAACCTCAGATGAGCAATTAAGGTGTTTATGATGCTTTAATGCCATGCAAATCCACCACTTCCATATTCATATTCATATGACGCCAGAGTCTGATGTGGTCCTCTCGGCTGTGGTTCTCAGGGCAGGAATGGTGCCGTGTGTACTGACAATGTGACAGACCTGTCCAGAAATGACCTCCAGAACAAATCTGGAGGGCCTACCAATCAGGTGGAGTCTTTCATCTGCCAATCGACCATCATACCATCAGATGGGCGGGGCTTCAGGACAGCGCTGTCCTCCCAGTCCGTCAGCCTGGCGGATATTTTCCTGGGTAAGTGCTTGAGGAACAGGGGCAGGGATGCAGGCCCAGGAGAATTGTTGATAAAAAGACGCCTGGCCAACTGTGATATAAAGGTGCAGTGGCAGGGTGTATATATGTACAATTGTGGAGGTGGGGGGGATCTGCTGTAAAATCACTTCATCATTGGTGCCTGTGAATATTTGAAAAAAGCTGTGAAAGCCCCCCCCGTTAATTCAGTAGATGGGTTTGTGAAAAATATGCTGCATTACATAACAGTCTTCCGTCTCCGTGGCGATTGTTGATGCTGGTCCCAACCCCGTGGTTTGATGAATACTCCACTGTTCTCCAGCATGTATGACCCCTGTCTTTATCTGAAGGGGCAACTGCAGAGAATACTCTCGCTGGGATCAGCGTGAACCCGGGCCTGTTCCCCGAGATGCCAAAGAAAATTCCGGATGTCAACTTCTTCTACTGGTGAATACAGTCCAGAGCACCTATGTTCAGCATTCAAAAGCAGGGCTCGCTTCCAAATCATTACGATTAGAACTTTGGTTGAAGGTCTTTATGTCATCCTCACGCAGGTAGTTGCTGTGACTCTGGATTCTTCCTTCTTCTTTCTTCCCATGTTCCAAGGTTGCGGGATAACAGCTCTTATGTGATGTGTTTCCCCTGTTTAAATTGAAAAGGTCTCCATGGGCCACGTCATCATGCAAGAATGGACGCCATGCTGTGGTCACGTTGCGGTGTAACCCGGACAGGAGTGCCAGTGGGGAGCTGAGCGTGCCCAGGTACACTCATGTGGAACTGTACCCCTGCTGTTGTTTCTCAGCATGAGCAATCTCAGTAAGACACAGCAGATCTTTCAATTCCCCGGAAACCTGTAAGGGTCACACTGGGCACTCAGTCCTGCTATTACTTCCTTATTAGTCTTTAACGACTTCCAGGTACAGTTTATAGGCACAGGAAATCTGCAAAAATGGTGTATTTTCTTCTGTTTATGTCCTTTGAGAGATTCATATAAGGACACTGCAGGGATCTAAACAAGGAGCATTGCAAATTAGTATCCAAGAGTGCTTTAATCCGCGCTGCAGTTTGTGCTAATTATCATATCAATTATCAGGCTCATTGAAAATTACAGAGGAGACTTCTCGAACGAAGCAGGTGGCTTTGCAGCCACGTAACCCTCCAATGTCTGCAGTTGGTGTGGAAGCTGTTTAATTGCTGTTTAACTTTAACTTAAGTGTGATGCCCTGTACAGATAACCTGCCAGAAATACTTTACAGACGGTCACCCTCAGTTCAAGGCCATGGCAGGAAATGCCCGGCGGGCACCTGCAGATGCTGCACCTTTCACTTCCTCTTTCTCTCTGTCACAGGAAATGCCCGGCGGGCACCTGCGATGGCTGCACCTTTCACTTCCTGTGGGAGAGCTCCAGTGCCTGTCCGCTTTGCACAGAGATGGACTTCCACGAGATAGAAGGGGCCTGCATAGATAGCGTCCAGGTAGCTGCACCCACCACATCATGTGATCTCAATAAGGGACATGGAGGGGCGTGTCGAGGGGGGATGTTCACATGCGGCATCTCCCTCTCCTGTCAGGATAAACACTACGTGTGGAATGACCCAAAGCTCTGCACAGGCGGGGTCCAGCTCCCAGCTAAGAAGACCTCAGCCTGCCAATCCGTCGATTTCTGGCTGAAGGCTGGGGCTGGGATCGGCATCTTCATGGGCATCCTGCTCACCGCCATCACCTGCCACTTCTGGAAGAAGAACAAGAAGTAGGCAGATCTGAAATACCAGCCAGTTTTGGTATCCCACAATGCAAAGTGCAGGCTAGCTAGTCCACTCACCTGGCTGAATAAAACTGTATGCCAGCCCATCCCTGGGTTCAAGAGCTGACCAACACGCCCTTCTCTACCCCCCTGTCAGGTTGGAGTACAAGTACTCATTTTTGGTGATGAGCACCAAGAGGCAGGGTGAGTTTCCCACTGCAGACAGCTGCGCCATCATGGAGGGTGAGGACAACGACGATGAGTCGGTCTATTCCAGCAAGCTGTCACTGCTAGACCAATTCAGGTCCCTGGTGACAAAGGTGCGGCCCCTTTATGGTCACCAGACTGGTTACCCTCATTATCATGGAACCCAGGCCTGAGGTGACGTGTCACTTCCCCTTCACAGGCGAGCAGCGAGCAGCACGAGTGTGTCCAGCTGGAGTCACCGCAGGAGCACAGGTGGGTGTGTGGGTAGCGGCGAGTGGAGAGCCTGGAGACCACACAGAACCCACTGTCAGCAAGACTGGACCAGGCAGGAGCTTGACTGGAGGTCGGGGTGGGGGGGGGACTCCAGTGGGCCATCTTACTGGCGAGACAGTATCGCTCTGCAGTCTTCCGGTATAAGTCATACTCCAGCCTGCTTATTCCATCTTCTACGTCAAATGATAACAGCGGTGTTTCCCCTCTGAACTGAACTGTATCAAACAATTGTAGCGAGATGGAGAGCTGTTGAAGCACGACTTCCTCCTGGGATGACATGATTAAAAACCCATACTTATTCTGGGGTCTCTCAGACCCCTGACTATTAGTCAGGAAACCCTTGACCTAAGTCTCAGTTATGAGCCTTGTTCTCAGTCTGTGTTTTTAATCTCGTCTTTATTGTCTCTGTCTGATGCACCGTGCTGCTTGTAACCTCACAGTCTCTCACCAGTCAGTCCAGGTTATTTTTCTGATATCTAATTTCAGATGAAATAATATGCCGTCATTCCTCTTGCTTACTGAGATCTGAGACTGGCACATTCCTTTGTACAGATGTTTATTTTTTAATTAATAAATTGTGTTTCGAAACAATCTGACCCTATTTAATGCTTGCAGCATACACAATAAGTTGATATGTGAAAATGTAAATTTCGATGGAGGTTTATCTACAACATAGTGGGTGTATAAGGAAAGCAGACATGAATAATGTAGTACTAGTGCGGTGGATGGTTTCATGACAGATCTATATGTTTTTCCAATGATCTGATCTCTTTTAACATCTGTGTATTATGCAGCTTCAAAACTGGACATCAGTACTGCTGGAATTCAGCAGAGCACAAAAGCCCCCACCCCACCCCCTACTAGAAGGAGTAGCACTACTGCTCCCTGTGGGATCAAACTGATGGGGCGTTTTCTAAGAGCAGAGAAAGGCCACTGATACAGGATTAATCTTACGTAAAATGTCCCATTGGGAAAATCGTGAAGAAACCCGGGATCCCACCAGAGAGACACGATAACTGCTGCACTATGGACTCCACAGAAGGACTGCAGTCACACAGAGGAACTGACTCTGATCACAGAGGGAGTCACATAGGAAATGAATGGACTCTTCACAGATGGAGTCATACTGGGGACAAATTTACTCTGTTCTTGGAGTTGTGGAGGTGATGATGACTCAAATTAATTGACTGTTCACCGAGGAAATCACATACGAGATGCTTTTTCATTGAAGAATTGGCACTTGGATGGACTGACTCTGTCCACAGATGAAGTGGCATTTGGATGGACTGACTCTGTCCACAGATGAAGTGGTACTTGGATGGACTGACTCTGTCCATAGATGAAATGGCATGGGGGCAGACTGACTCTGCCCATAAGTGGAGGTATGGGAGTAGACTGACTCTGTCCATAATGGAGCAGCATAGGGGCAGACTGACTCTGTCCATAATGGAGCGGATTGGGGGCAGACTGACTCTGTCCATAAGTGGAGGCATGGGGGCAGACTGACTCTGCCCATAAGTGGAGGCATGGGGGCAGACTGACTCTGTCCATAGGGGCATGGGGACAGAGGCATGCGGACTGAAGAGTCATACTAATGGCAAATGTGTGACGTCACTCCAGCATATCCTGTCCCCACTCAGATTAAGGTGGCGCCCTTGGCTCTCTGCCCTGTGTTTTCAGTATCGCTGACACATAGTGTCAGTGTGTTAACACCATGTCATTGCTGGGGGGTCTGTTATGGCAGCTCCGCCGTTTGACTTTTGCCACCCAGATGAACGGTCTGTAACCTGCGGTAATTGGCGCGGCCATTGATTTGATGCAACAACCTTGCATGTGCAATACTAGTGTCACAAACGTCTCCGAGAGGCCGCCCAACACGTGGGGGCTCTCATTGTCCCCACTACTGGCGTAAAGAAGGAAGAGGACAAAAGGAACAGGAGTGGGAATCAGTTTATTGATGGACTCTCTTACTGCCCACAAAAGGTCACAGCTATTGCTTAGAACTTAGAGCTAGCCCGGTTCAGCCTGACCCCGCTGTGTTCCACACCTCTGCATTTCCTCAGTCCTAGAACGGATAAGAAGTTCACAAAATGAAATATATTTCTCAGACACACCTTCCCGGAAGCCAAAGAATACAAGCAACCCCTCCCCCCCTTCAGCCGGGCTACAGACATGTAGAACTTTGTGAGAAGTATCTACTCACCTCAGGCTGGAATAGTACAGTTCGTACTCTGAAAAGCTCAGTACTCCAGCCTGCCCCCGGGGAGAGTTCAAAGAGACCACAGTCCAAATAAACATTTCACACAGCCTGACGCGCACTGCATATCTCCTGGCTACAGAGCGGCCAAGTTGAGCACAGCGGGCAGATAAACCCGAGAGCGTGGGGCTGCAATACCTGCGACGAGCAGCTGGAGTCTGACGCGGCACGTTGGACACGCTTTACATGATCCACCGCATCCTGCTTGGCGCCTCCCCACCACTCTGACTCCTCAGCTCCTAACATCCCTCCATCTCCCGCGGGGCTAGAAAGGCTCACACCTCCTGCTGACTACACCCACTGTCAGACACTGGGTTTGGAGCGTGTGATGGGTGGTGTGCGGGTCAGTGGGTCAAGACTCTGTACCTGTGATCGCAAGGTTGCCGGCTCAAATCCCAGAGTTAGCAGAGTGATGTCACTGTTGGGTCCCTGAGCAAGGCCCCTAATGATGTCACTGTTGGGCCCCTGAGCAAGGCCCCTAATGATGTCACTGTTGGGCCCCTGAGCAAGGCCCCTAATGATGTCACTGTTGGGCCCCTGAGTAAGGCCCTAACCCCCCAATTGCTCCAGGGACTGGCTGACCCTGCTTTCTCAAAAAAAAAGTATGTTGCTTAAAAAAAATTGACTACTAAATAAATATTGATTGACAACTCCACTACTGTTACCCATAAAAAACAGGCAGCGAACGTGGTTTAAATTAATGTGAGATGATACGAGACTCTGCCTGAAGAACGTGAATCAGCTGGAAGACATGACAAGCGCGAGATTGACGGGCAGCATCCGCATCCTGTGTTTGGGCTCGACCTCCTGCCTCTCCTGCCTCTCCTGCCTCTCCTGCCCTCCCTGAGGCTCGCTGTGCAACGTCTCCTGCAGGTTATTTATATCTGCTGCCCATTGTAGTCATTTGAGCATCATGGGTGGACCTGTGACTTGTATGTTTCTGCTCAGAGATGAGCCGTCCTGCATTACGAGCATAGAGCCATCCATTGAACCCCAGGAAGACTCACAGGTATCGGTGTGGGTGACATGAGCCGAAAAGGGGTCACCTGCACGTCTGATCATTCAAACATGCACCACCCATCCAAAGACACGGCCCCTGCATAAAACTACAAAAACACGAGTTAAGGCACAAAAAGCCATCGATAGACAGGGTTACGTTTTACTAATCATAGACTAATCAACACGACACTGGAGGCATGACGCGGATGGGCGCAGGCTGTTCTTAAAGAAGACATGGATGTCAATAACACCGATTAGTAGCTTTTTATACACTGTGACACCTCCTGTAATATCGCTGACTTGTGCTGTTAAAACCATCAGTAACGTTTAATGTACATGTTTTATCTACAATGACATAGAAATGCATACTGAATTAATTAAAAACAAAACAAACGGGCACATTGTCTCCCCCGTACCGCTGGCATGGCCCCTTTGTTACCCTTGAGTCTGAACTGATCAATGACCACATTACAATGGGGGTCGTGGTTATTTACAAAGCATAAGAAAATTATCAAAAACAAATTCCCAGAAAACAGACTATAAAGACTTTTCTTCTCTCTACAATGACCTCAGTTGATATGTACAGCCCTTAAAAATCGTGTGAAGCTCCTTCCTGCATGAGAGCAGCGGGGGCGACGCACAGCAGCCACCGGGCCACTAACAGTCTGGGAGCTGCGATCCCGTGGTCCGCGCTCACAGGGATGAGGTGGTCGAGTCCACGATCTCCCTCCCGTTGCACACAGCGGGAACGAAGCGAGCATTCACAGAGGCTGGAGGGAAAGGGAGGAGTTAGCATGGAGATCCTCAAATCTCATTAACTGGTTTACTGATTGATTGGTTGATTGATTGATTTAATACAATATTGGTCTATGACCTATGAAGCCATTATGCTAAAGCCTGTGAGAAACCAGTATTCTGGATCTCTTAGAGAACATCTACAAACCTGTCATCCTGCCCACATCTGCCACCGCCGATGCTGAGGAGAGAAAAAGGGGAGGTAAGTTTACCAAGCATATGAGCCTGATCTGAGCTTCAGGGCATGAAGCTGCACCAAAGAAACATGCAGATGCTGAGAAGTTCCACGCACCGTGAGAGTAGGCCGGCCCAGGTCCCGCCACGCTGAAGCGGCTCATGTTCATCCGGTGGCTGGTGACATTCTTCTGCGGCTGGAACATTATGATGTGAACCTTGGGGGCGAACATGCAGCCAAGCACCACAAAACCACTCAGGCTGACCGAAATGCACATGGTGGTGGTCTGCACCTGTGAGGGTCAGGAGGTCAAGGGCAAAGTCAAGGTCAACAGATCAATTCAATCAAAAAGTCAATAAAATCAAGGTCAACTGGTCGGGGTCAGTTGAAAGATTGATAAGATGCACAATTCAGAAAAGAATTTTGTAAGCAACTCCTGAATGAATCGTCTTTCAATTCGCGTGTTTTCAGAAACTCAATTAATGTATTTGTGTCTCTGACGTCTACACTAATTAACAGACAAAAAGAACCTATACAGTTATCTGGTCATAATTATAACAAATACCTCATTACCCTCTGCACCTCTGAATAACTAATATAAGAGCCATTTTCCAGTGTTAGTAGTATTTGTGCTTCACATATTAGCGGAACAGTTTCTTCAATTTCTGAACAATCAAAGCTACCAGGTGAAGACCATCAAAAATGGAAGAGTGTTTGAGTGAGGGGGTCGTCAAACCTCCATGTGTGGGCATTGGTATATAGAATACTGTGGATGGAGCCTTGGAGTGTCACATGCTAATGTGAAGCCCACCCACAGAAGCTTCTTAGATTAGCATGCACCCATTTCCCTAATATTCCCCTCAACTAGCTAACTTGTGATGTTTGTGAGACTAGTTGAGCTTGCTGCCATTAATTAGTAAGAGCTATGATACTTTATTGATGCCTGTGGGGAAAATCTCTTTCCACCTAACCCATTCTGCTCTCCATGGCATACAGACACATTTGTAGGTGACAGCAAGCTTGAGAGTGAAGGGCAGCCACCTGTAGCAGTGCCCATGGAACTGGGGGTTATGGGCCATGCTCAAAGACAATATTTCCCAAGATGAGACTTGAACCAGTGAGTTCTGACCCCAGTCACAAAGGCTTAGCCCATTAAGCCACACACTGCACCCAGTAATAGGTTACATCCTTTTTTAATTCTCTATGGAAGATGAAAGTTCGATTTGTGGGCCTGATTTAATAATGAATTAGACTCATGGCACAACCCCAAGTTCTCTACTATGAAAAATGGCTGATTGTCCAATGCAATCCTTGCCATTATTTTCGTAGGTATGTCTTTAGCTCTGCTGCTGCTAACTTTGAATATTGACTAAAGTCTAAATATCGTCAGGCAATATCAAGCAAGTTTGATGCCAATGTCTTGATATATAACAACATTGGCCGATACCATTATGTAAACCAATATATTGTGCATCTCTAATCTTCATGACTGTCCTGCTTACCCTGTAGTCACTGGAGGTGACGTAGAAGATGGGCAGGAAGGCCAGCCAGATGATGCAGGTGGTGTACATGGTGAAGCCAATGAACTTGGCCTCATTGAAGTTTTCGGGACATTTTCTGGTCTTGAAGGCGTAGACGGTGCACAGGATGACCAGCAGCACGTCGTAGGCCAGGGAGAGCAGCATGCTAGAGTCGTGCACGTTGCACTTGAGGATGACCGTCTCCCGCTTCTCCGGCAGTGTGAAACGCCGCGTCCCCGGCGGCTCTAGTAGCAGCCAGACAGACGCCAGGAGCAGCTGGACGGAGATGAGACTCAGGCAGATGAAGACCTGAGAGCTTGGGCTGATGAAACGCGGACGCTGGGCGCCGTCCTTCACACCACCAAAGATGCGGGCGATGCGGTTGGTCTTGGTGAGGAGCGCCGAGTAGCAGACGGCGAAGGAAGTGCCCAGACCAAGACGGCGCAGGGCACAGATGGCCGGTGATGGCTTGGCAATGAAGAAGAACGTCATGGAGTAGGACATGAGGACACCCAACAACAGGATGTAGCAGAGTTCGCGGCCGGACGCCTTCACCAGCGGCGTGTTGTTGTGCCGGATGAAGACGCCAGCTACCAGGAGGGTGCAGACAAAGCCCATGCATGCGATGGCTACAGGCCCGATGGCCCAGGCATCCTCCCACATGATATAGTCCTCGGGCAGGTCGTAGCAGCCCTTGAGGTCCTCACTGGGCCATTGGCCGGCACCACAGGGCACACAGGTGAACTCATCGGCCAGGTACTCGTAGGAGTCACACGGAGTGCAAATCCAGCAGCAGAACTCACCTGCTTGCATCTTCTTCATTTCATTGCGGGCACAGGGGTCACTGCACTGTGAAGTGGGTGCTGTGAGGTGGGGCCACTGGATGAGGTCATTGTTGAGGGTCAGTGTCTCCGCCCACTCACCGACATGGATGTAGGAGTACTTGTCTGCTGTCTTCTGATAGTTGAAGATGTTATAGCGGCCCATGCCATCTCCATAGGTGTCAAACTTCACAAAGTTCTCGATTCCAGGAGGTGAAAATGGTGCTGGGGAACACAAAGCAGATGGTTGCGACCTTATGAAGCAGGTATAAGGGCAGCTTGGAACATTTCCAGTATTAATGGTGTGTTAAATGGGGTGAGTTTATTGTTTCTGGGCCCCCACCCAAAAAATCAGTTTGCCCCCCCACCCCCGATTTTTCAAAACCTCAGTAAATAGCTCCTATGTAAGGGACGTATTTATTTAACATTTACTGTTGTAACTGTTTGAGATGAACAGGGGGGGCTCCAAACCATGGGGGCCAAAGTGGTGGGAATTACGTCAGATTACATAGTAATTAGAAGGTGAACAACTGTTTCTGTTCATAGCCACATTTTATTGAGGTAGGTTTCCTTTGAACAGACCATTAAGCACAGAGGTGCTATGGAAGTCACACTAGGAAGTGGCTTTAAGGCACTCAGTACGACATGCAGATGAAAGGACACCATCAGGAAACGGAGCCCTACCCAGTCGCCACATTGTATTCAAAGATGTGTGTACCTGCCCGTTGTTTGTCCTTCTGCGTGTGCCTCTAAGTGTGCGTGTGTCTCTGCGTGTACATTTGTGTGTGCATGTGTCTCTGCGTGTGCATGTGCCTCTGTGTGTTCCTCTGTGTCTGTGTGTGCCTCTGCGTGTGACTCTGCGTGTGCATGTGCCTCTGCGTGTGCGTGTGTCTCTGCGTGTGCATGTGCCTCTGTGTGTGCCTCTGTGTCTGTGTGTGCCTCTGCGTGTGACTCTGCGTGTGCATGTGCCTCTGCATGTGCCTCTGTGTCTGTGTGTGCCTCTGCGTGTGACTCTGCGTGTGCATGTGCCTCTGCGTGTGACTCTGCGTGTGCATGTGCCTCTGCGTGTGCCTCTGTGTCTGTGTGTGCCTCTGCGTGTGACTCTGCGTGTGCCTCTGTGTCTATGTGTGCCTCTGCGTGTGACTCTGCGTGTGCCTCTGTGTCTGTGTGTGCCTCTGTGTGTGACTCTGCGTGTGCCTCTGTGTCTGTGTGTGCCTCTGCGTGTGACTCTGCGTGTGCCTCTGTGTTTGTGTGTGCCTCTGTGTGTGACTCTGCGTGCGCATGTGCCTCTGCTGAATTGTTGGAAGGGTGGGGAAATGGATGAGGACAGGGTTTAGAAAAAAGAAAAGTGACATGGCTGTCATGCCGTTGTAGCGCAATCATGTGTTTGTGGTGATGCTCATGAAAACAAACCTACTGCGCTGCCAGTTGTTTAAAAGTACAGCACATACAATTATGTACAGTAAATAATACGTGATAATGATAATAAACTATTATGTTACTGCTTTATGTATTTCCTATACTGAACTGTTTAATTGTTATTTTGCCTGTGCTACATAGCCTAGGTGTGTAGCAGCCTATACCATCCTGTTTGCTGGTACACTTTGTGATGTGCGCACAATGGAAACCAACGCGTTTCTCAAAACGTATTCCTGTATGTATACGTTACTGTATATGAAACAGTCATTAGGGATCAATGCAGCACAGGCCATGCAGGAAGTGTAGGGTCCCCTAGGTGGCAACACTACATTTTACAAATGCTTTAACAACAAGGATGGGTCTCAGCAGCACTGAAGGAGGCGCTGAAGAGCATCTGCGAGAGCCAGCGGGGATAAACCCTCCAATTAAAATCTCGCAAGTCAGAAACAGCTGAATAAGAGCAGTTTGGAATCATGGCGATCTAAGGGCGTAATTAGCAAGAAGACACCGCCTCTGCTGGGTGTAATAGCTCTTAATTAATCGGCACTCTGCTGCAAATTATGATGCTGTAGGAATGCCTGATGCCAAATTCCTGCAATGTTTTGTACCTGTCAGTCTGAAATATCCCAATTCAGTCCTTGCTTTCACAGGCAGGCCAGCGTTAGCCCAGAAACACTACAGCTCGTGACGTCCAGGATGCCCAGAACCGGTGGCAGTGTTTAGTATCTCTCAGACCTTGCATGCGTGTGTTAGCTACAAACAGTTCTACAGTAAATATTAAACAAACATGCCCTTACTTAAATAAAGAACGCAAATGTGAACTGTGCTTAAGCAGGGTGATTTGCAGACACATTAACCCAGTTTCCTGAAACAGGAGGAGTGTTGCATCTGATGTTGTTTGTGAGATGGAGACACTCTGCCACTCAGCACAGACTCTGGATGGGAGAGGAGCACTGTGGCTCTGACAAACCATGCTCTCAGATAGATGGAAGGGACTAGGGGACACAGGTCAATGTGGAGAGCCTGGCACAGAAGATGGCAGGTCCTGGTACAGGTATGAGAGTCTGGAAGAGATGGCAGAGCCGGGTACAGGTGGCACAGCCTGGTGCAGATGGCACAGCCTGGTACAGGTGGCAGGTCCTGGCACAGTTGGCAAGGCCTGGCAGAGATGGTAGAGCCTGGTAAAGTCAGAGCCTGGGCACAGGTGGCAGACCCTGGCACAGATGTCAGAGCCTGGTGCAAATATCGGCGTCTGGAACAGGTGGCAGAGCCTGGCAGAAATGGTAGAGCCTGGTAAAGGCAGAGCCTGGGCGCAGGTGGCAGAGCCTGGCACAGATGGCAGAGCCTGGCGCAAATATCGGAGTCTGACACAGATGGCAGACCCTGGCACAGATGGCAGAGCCTGGCACAAATATCAGCGTGTGGCACAGGTGGCAGAGCCTGGTACAGGTGGCAGAACCTGGTACAGGTGGCCTAGCTTGGGATAGATGACAGACTTTTGTATAGGTGGCAGTGCCTGTCACAAGTGGCAGAGCCAATTGCCGGTATAAGAGACTGGCACAAGTGACATTTACACACAGCGGAATGGTACAGGTCTACATTCCACATCCCCGCAGAACATGTTTGACAGTGGGCCTGGAATTGAACCCTCTAGCACGGTAACGTCTGTCCTGAATGCCGAGATGATGCCTTTCATCAGTGAGCTCACACCATTTGCTCGTAAATCCTCATGAAAGCCTGACACATGTAAGAATGCGGAATTTGGAGGACAGACATAAAAAATTAGAAGAGCCTTCAGACAAACTACTGTAGAGATGCTCAGAAATTCATTAACGAAAATGCTGCTGAGAACAGACTCTCGATGTAATAAAACATAATCCTACCATGACGAGTAAAGGTCCCTAATGAGATCAGGTAGCTAACCTCCATCTGTCTTTCTCCAGTCCGTGTTGTGGTGATCCTCAGCCTGTCCCAGCAAAGCACAGCCAATGAGGCAGGGCATAGGATGGCTCTCTGCTTATCTTCATTATAATGAAAAGATAAACTTAAACCTAGGCCCACTATTCTAGGATATGCTAAGACAATTTTTCAGCCCAGCTAAGGGTGGCCCTGCTAATACATGCTAAGATTTGTTACCGTCCCTGCTAAGACACGCTAAGATGTGTTACCGGCCCTGCTAAGACACGCTAAGATGTGTTAGCAGCCCTGCAGTGTTATATCGCTCATTGTTTCAGATTACAGAACACAGTATACAATTCTGTTCTTTTAGTTTAAGTGCCAGTAATTAGCAAGTCTGCTAATCCAGTAAATGAAAAATACAGTTTTTCAATAACAAATTCAGATTTTATAAAGTACTCACTACCCTATTAGTCTTTTTTCTAGATTCTCTTTTACTCTTTCTCAAGTAGTGTGATTGTTGAGTACTTATACTCCTATTTCAGTTGCTATTATACTTAAGTAACAGTACTTTTACTTGAGTACAGATTCTGGCTACTCTACTCACCTCTGCTGCTAAGACATGCTAAGATGTGTTAGCAGACCTGCTAAGACATGCTAAGATCCGTTAGCAGGTCTGCTCCGCAAAGCCTTGTCTCTGGAAAGCCCTGGTGAATACATAGCCCCATTTTAGTGAAGTTCCCAAGCCTGAAGACTACCTACACACTATGCGTCTGGGTCCTTGTGGCTGTGTGTGCGAATTGTGATAAGGAGCCAGAGGAGATGCATCATCGCCGCTTAAGCAAGGCCAAGGAAACAGCGACTTACATAATTGTTTGTTAAAAAGCCAAAAACCATTCATGTCTCTGAATCTCTGTGTACTGCAGCCAAATTCCTCAACATCTCCAGTGTTCACACAAAACATTATGTCATGAGCAGATTGAGGCCATAATGCACTAGATGCTCTTCACTGTCTCTCCCTCTGGGCACACTCCGATCAGCCCTGATTGGTGGGCTCGGGGCCATAGCTTAGCTGTAGCTTAGCATGTCACAGTTTACAAAGTAAACAGAACTCAGCCTCTTCCAGGAGGTTTAAAAAGGTTGTCTTGATTGGACTGCAGCCGAGAATCCAATTTAAATCTTCAAGCCTGGCAGCAGAAACCGACGTCTTATGTAATTGACAAATTGAGTGAAGCTGGGAAGATGTTATGACTGTTTTTGGGCCTAGAAGGGAAATGACGTTCCCATAGTGACCCTTAAATCAGCTTTACAGGGGTCCCTAAGAGACCCGGGCATGTCTGTGTGCTTGTATGAAGGCCGCAGCGCATCACAGCAGACACATTCAGTCAGCCGCGAGCATAAGGCTTTGGCCAATTCTCTGACATCAGACCTTCCAAGAAAACAGACCAATCCACCTTTTGAATTCTGGCCATTCCAGAACATCCTCCGATTTCATAGTCAGTTCCCAGCATGCAGTGCAGCATGTCAGTAATTCCCTGCTTGTAATGAAGAACTGAACAAAGATTATGCATCACACTAGATGAATAACTAATAAATGTTCCGGAGCCTTCTGGCCCTTTAAGATGTCTTTGAAAGGATGATGAAGACACTTGCCATGTTCCCCTGGCTGCCTAGAGTGGGTCTAGTCTCCAGGCCAGGGACTGATTCATGCGTACCATAGCAGTGTTGAGCTCCTCTGACTCCTGCAGGCTACTTGCTTACTGGGTCAGTCTGTAGCTACTACTGGGGTCACCTGGCTCTCTGCAGTGTGCCACCAGGTCTGCAGTGTGTCATTCTGGGAGACACGTGTGACTCACTAGACTTCTGCTGCAGGGACGACACTGGCCTCCTCAAGGGTCCAGTGATGGTCCTGTCCTATACCTACTGGTCAGAAGAGCATCTCAGGCCTCTTTATTAAGGCGGGGTGTGGCTCAGTTGATTCGGTTTTTGTGGCTGTGAAGTTTGTTGGTTTGAATCTCAGGACTGGCGGAGTAGCCATGTCTCCTTCGGGTGGTTCAGCAATGTTCTTGACCTCCTGAAAAATGCTCCAGGTCTGCTAGAAGGATGGCTGACCCTGTGACCAGACCCCAGGCTTCACCCTCACCTCTATATTAAAAATATACTTAAAAATAATATGTAATAATATTAATAATAAGTAAATAAAGCATTATTGTCATATTTAAGGTCACAGCTGTGCATGACTAAAGACTAAAGTCCTGGTTGTTTGTCCAGACAGATGAAGCTAACTTCCTGTAACTCGACCCTGATCTGCTTTCAGTACCGACAAGCTGTCGTTCACCTTAATATCCGCTGGAGCAGCTTGTTTCATTCAACCATTCATCTTCATCCTCCGCTTGTGGCCTTGGTCCACGGTACGCGTCCTGCACCAGATGCTACGCATTAAATGCGGCTCCCACAGTGACACGCGGCTTCCTGCTCTAATACTGAGCGACACGCTTCAGCACTTCATCAGTCTCTAGGTCCCAAAATCAGGAGCAAAGATGCACGACATCATCAGCCTTCAGCCTGGGACTAAGGTTTAATCCGTAGATTAAGATTAATTAAAATGAGTAGCTTTGGAGCTCAAAGGGTGGGAAGGTGGGAAGACTGGGTAAAGGTACACCCAGATTTATGGGGGGAATATATACGGTGTTGGGAGGCCCTTTGGTTCTATATGACTTTTCCGTTAATTAGTCCGTCGATCGATCTTTGGCCCTGAGGAAATCACTCCTGCCTGTCGGGTGATCCTGGACTGCTACGAGGCCATCAAGCTGTATGGCTCAAATAGCTTGTGGGGGGTTTTAATGTCCTTTAAGAAGTTTCCTTGGTAGTTAAAGGCGGTTTAAATCAGAAGGCAGGCTCCATAAGGTGCAGGAAAATGGTCCGTAGAACAGACAGAGACAAACAAAGGCTTGGTGTTTAAGTGTCGGCTTTAACTCCAGGGTTTCTGGGATAAAGGGCAGGTTAGAACGTGTTTCGATGCATCACACTTACAGAAGATGCCAAAAAGGAACAGAATAAATCCGTACATGTCTTGAAAACACCCGCTAATCCCGTTAGATGTAAAAAATTGAAATTAGGTATAGTTTATATAATGCTTTGTGTGATCTATAAATGTTTGCGGATGGAAAGCTGTTTGAAAAGGCAGCTGGCACGTCACACAGGAGCAATATGAGACGGTCCCTGCAAATAACAGGATTACAAGATAAATTCAGAGACACGACAAAAGTAAAAATGAAGATGCGAAGGACACGATTCCTTACAAAATATCATGTTTTTTTTTTTTAATGTGGGTCGACACCGGCTGAGCATGTTAAAGAACCAGCTAACTCTCAAAGTAAGAAAATGAAATATTAATTAAGCACATGACATGCGGATGGTGGGAGCAGAGCAAGGCAGGGAGAGAAAGCAGCGCAGCCCGACACAGTGCGTCTGCTCACGTCCCGACAGGAGGGGAAATCAGGGACCCAGCAGAGAGGGGGTGGGGGGGATAATCAGACACAAAGAAGCAGATTATTACCAGGCAGAAAGAGCCCCGTCAGACAGGGTCATCCCCCTCCATTACACCTAACCCCTGCCCGTCAGGCCCACCCTCCTCTGTCAGACCCGCCCCCCTCTGTCAGGCCCACCCCCCTCCATTAGGGCTGCCCCCTGCACACACACCTGTGTATCTCATATTCCATCTCCATGGCATCAGCTCCCTGAACCCATTTACTCACAATTATTAAACTGCGTGTTTAACCTTATGAGCTTAAAAACAGCGAATTGTCACTGGCAGCAGTTACTGCAGCATAATTAACATTTACCTATTTAGCAGTAAAACGTCAAAAGTGACGTAAATTTTCAAGAAAGCTGTCAGCCAGTCCCTGGACCAATTGGGGGTTAAGGGCCTCGCTCAGGGGCCCTAAGGTGACATCACTCTGCCGACCCTGGGATTGGAATCAGTGACCTTCCCATCTCTTGCTTTTCCATCTATGTGTGACAGAGAAGAAAAGAGAGACGCCTCATGAGGCCTCTGGGGGGGTCGGGCTGGGTGAAGGTTATGGGCTCCATGAGCCGCTCAGCTCAATATTGCCCTCCGGCTGCCTCACTGCGGCTCTCGGTGCAACGCGGCGTGGCAGAACAAACATCATACACAGGAATACTAAACGTGTGAGCAGAATACATCACATTTATTGGCGCGGCAGCAGATGGGGGGGCAGGCCGGAACACACTCCGCACTCGGCGAGGAGCACAGCCCCCACCTTATCCCCCCTCCCTGGCTCTCACGGTTCATACGTCTATGTCCGAAAACTCTCACGGACAAGACTGTCACCTTCTGTGCCTGTATGATGCCTTAATCACCCTCCTCGCCTCTGCTTCCTTCCTTTCTGGGGGTAACGGGGGGAGGGGGTTTGCTGTGAACTGCGTCACACAGGTAGCAGACACAACACGTGGGCATCGCCCTCCTGCACAGAGCGGCAGCCGTGTACAGGGACAGCTGTGGGAAAAGCTCTGCTTTCGATGCGAGGCCCTCGCTAACAGCTAGTGCCATTACTGATACCTTCTTCAGTCATGTCCCATCAGCCCCTGCTTCTTACAGCTGCCTACCTCACCAAAGCGATTCCGGTTCCTTCCAGAACCAGCAAACTTCAGGCTACGTGGCGATGACCTTAAGCGTTATGCCCCCTACTGCTCCAACAGCAGTAATTAACATCTCTGCCTCCACTCTGCATTTGTCTGTGTTAATTCGTCATCCCCTGACCCATCCTGGTCTCTGACCGTGCCGTTCATCTCCCACATACGAAGATGTTTTTCCTGACAAAATAAGTTTAAAGTGGAGCCTTGAAGCAGCAGCACTGTCATCTGCTTCCCCTTCCTCTCCAGCTTCAAACATATGGAAGTCGCTGAAATATTTACACTATAGTTCCAAAGGTCACCCTGCAGGGGGCTCTGAACTTTTCCACCAGAGATAAAAAGCCTGTCAGCGACGGAGGGATTTAAAAAGGGCGCTCCCCCCAGCGTAGCCACGCCCCTCCTCCCTGCCGCCTCCGTTGTGACGTCACCACGGAGACAAAGCTGCAGGCATTATTGCCGCAGAGGTGATGCGACGGTTCAGCAAGGAGTGAGTGAGTGTGTCAGGTAACAGGAGCAGCTGGACAGGGGGCCCACGGCCAGCCCCGGGGCCCCACAGCAGATGTCATTCATGAGAACGGCAGGGCGACCCCTAGTGGGCAACCCCTAGCCTTTGATTTGCAGCCTCTGAAATATGAAGTTGGAGAATTTCAAAGGAAATCATCGCAGGCCGCACTTGCGATTTCTCTCTCCCTCTCTGCCGCAGAGCAGCTCCTCCACCCACTGACAATGCTGAGACTGCGCCCACAGCAGCCGTGAGGGATGTGGCGTGTGTGCATGCAGGTCTCTGCTACGCCTGCTGCATTCGGCAGGCGGCACGATGCATAAAGCTGCATAAAGCCTCGCCGTGCATGTGGGCCAACTTGTTAGCAAATCTCTGATTATCTTGCTTGTGTAGCCTGCTTACAGTGGATGCACAGTGACTGGTGTTACTTGGCGCCCCGCCAACACAGCCTTCTGCCCCCCCATACGCACCCCTGAAGTTGATGTTGAGCAGGTAGTCCCTGTAGAGCCTCCTCCCATCCAGTGGCCTCATGCTGTCGCACAGCTGCGTCGTGTTGCTGCACAGTGTCCGCTGCATCTTGTGCAAGGCATGCGCCATGGCGTACACCGCGTTCACCACGAACATTATTTTGGACTCAGGTTCAAAGTTGGAGCTGTCGATGGCCAGGTGCTTGGCGCAGGGCCTGCGGCTGTCCTCCCCGCCCAGCGTGCACTGGAACTTCTGTTCCCAGAAGTCCTTGTACCAGGGGTTCCTCCTGTTGTTGACCGGGTTCAGGTACTGGAAGTAGCGGTTGAACTCCTCGACGGGGTGGGCGGCCAGCTCCAACGTGATGGCACCCTCGGCCACCGTCTCCTGGCCCTTGACGATGCTCTCTTGCGCCCCCCAGCCATCGCTGGCGATCCAGGTGAAGGAGACGGCGAGGCGGGCGGCGGCGGCCAGCAGCTCTCGGGCGTCGTCGCTGCGCATGAAGAGCACGACCACGCGGGCGTTGGGCTTCTGCAGCAGCTGCCGAATGACGGCTTCGTACGACTTCTTGGCGTTGGAGCGGCCCACCTTCTCAGATGTCGCGATGCAGATGTTGCGCAGCCGCGCCTCCTGCTCGAAGGCCTCGATGCCCGTCTCGCCATAGTCACCCTCAGATGCCACCGTCGACACGTACGTCCAATTGAAGAAGTGTAGGATCTCTGCCATGGCCTTGGCCTGGTAGAAGTCGGGCGGCACCGTCCGTGCAAAGTAGTCATAGCGGGATTTGTCGCTCAATTTGGCGCTGGTGGAGGCATAGCTGATTTGGGGGATCTGGAACAGCCGCAGCAAGTTGGCCACCTGGGAGCATTGCACATTACATGTTACACATTCCATGCTACACATACATCACATTTAACACATCACATATTGTATATGACACATCACATTTTACATATCACATATTATATATTGTTATTAACTTATCCAAAAATATATATTTTTAAGAAAAACAGCTCTGCGCCCCTTCAAAACTATTACTCTTCTGACCGTGGGATTTGAACCAGCAACGTCCCCATCATAGGGGCATTGTCCTAACCTGCTGAGCTACACAGCCCCCCCGCCCCCAGGGAACAATGGAGGATCGATCCCCAGAAATCAGAGGTGGCTCTTCCTTCAGCCCAGTTTCCAGAAGAGAAATAATCAGGTCAGCAGAGGTGCTGTTTATCACCACTCAAAGCACGCATTGACATGGGGCCCCAAGGTTTGTGGGCTCCCTATTGCCCACAATCAGTCACTACACTGGGCACTGGGGAGGGCGTGGGGGGTCCAGAAAGAGCAAACCCAGCCCTGCACATCAGGTGACTTCCACATCGTGGACCATGTGACAAACCATGCTTAACGAGTGTACCTAATTAATTATCTTATGATGAGCTGTTCATTTAGCGAATCATACATTTCAGGCCACATTATGTCAAACACATTTCCCCACTTGGTTTCCACAAAGCTAAAAAAGACATTAATGTTGATGAGGAATGTGTGTAAATGGCAAAAAGGTGCACAGGGATGTGGCAAATTTCTACATAAACCCTCTGAAAACAAAAGGAATAAAATTAGCATTAAATTAGCCCTGTGCATTATATTTTCACACCACTTTTACAGGTCAGAACGATTTAGTTCTAAGGTTCATCCCCACAGTGAGGTTGGGCAGACACACCTACAGTCACACCTACAGTCTGACAGTGCTCTGACCGAGTGCGGACCTTACCTAACCAGCAGGGGCCCTGTGACCCCCCCGCCAACCCCTTTGGATGCTTCAAAACCTAAATTAGTAACTAATGAGTCTGAAGACCACAGGTATCTATCTGGTTAGCAGGAAAGCATTTATTTAATATTCAGTGTAGTGACTGTTTGTGGCCAACAGGAAGTGACTGTGGCCCAAACATCAGGGTCCCACGCAAATGCATGGTTTGAGTGGCGGTAAACAGTGCTGCTGTTAGCAGGAATAAATAAGGAGGCCAGGGACGCTAAGGGCTATGGACACTAAGGGCTATGGACGCTAAGGGCTATGGACACTAAGGGCTATGGACGCTAAGGGCTATGGACACTAAGGGCTATGGACGCTAAGGGCTATGGACGCTAAGGGCTATGGACGCTAAGGGCTATGGACGCAAAGGGCTATGAACACTAAGGGCTATGGACGCTAAGGGCTATGGACACTAAGGGCTATGGACGCTAAGGGCTATGCAGCATGACGGCCTGTAATGGCTGCCGCAGGAAACAGAGTGGCCGCTGAGTGTCAGGCAGGATGGAGCCACACGGTAAAGCATTCGGCAAAAAATAATTTACTGAAAAACTTGGCCTGTGTGCTACATGTGACACAGTATAGTACTTTTCAGAGGAGAAAGGCAGTTGGGGGGGGGCAAGGAAAACAGCGCAAGAACAACAGAGAAGACCGAGCCAGTGCAGGGGGCAGTGGGGGGGGGGGGGGGGGGGGGGGGTGAGGGACAATAGGCTATTGTCAGGAAACTGAGATGCACATGACAGATGACAATGGCTGTCTAACAGGGACAAGCACTGAGGTCACCTTGGGAGGGGTCAGGGTTACTGGGAACACAGCGGGGATTAAGGATTCCTGGGCAGATTGAATGGAGGTGGGGGGGGCACTTAGTGTTGGCATGGCGAAGGGAGAGAGAGGGGTTTACGCAAAGCTAAAGCAAATGGCTCCCCTGTCCTATCTCAAACACTACTACAATGAGGAAGCACAAGAAGGGCATAGCAATTTAAAGGGCCGGCACACTCTTCTGTGGGGGGCAGGGGGGCGTGGGTGGTCATGGGCCTGATAACAACAGCAGCATTTCGAGGGTGACACTGATCCTGGCCTGAGAAATCCTGCGAGGGCTAATTCCAAAGACTACAGTGTGACCGGCTCTTTAATGACCCATTCAATGTCAAGGGACACATGGCAGAGACTTAAAGGGCTTTATATATGACCTGAACACAGCAGTGTCCCACCACTTACACCACACATCTCCCCGGGGCCCTGAGGTTTGTGGCCCCCTGTTGGCCTCAGACAGAGGCTACACTAAATATTCTGTAGACCCACTCCTTATTTAGGAGATAAATTCTGCTAACCAGTGTTCTGCTAACCAGGTAATTAGCTACGATCTTCTGACTGACTCATTAGCTATTTATTTAGCTTTTGAAACATCTGACTGGGGGGGGGGGGGGCGACTGCTTAAATGGGGTCGCACAAACAACAAACCCATCTCAGTGGAAACGCCACAAAATGTCATAATGATGGAGGAGGAAGGTTCCCCCAGCAAGATGCTCCTTCAGGAGCAGAGAGCAGAGTGTGATGCTGCACACCCCCTGCATGGTCCTCCCGCCCGCTCGCCCATACCTGTATGGACACGCTGCTGTAGGAGCCGCCGACGACGCCAGCGATGGCCAGCGGCACGTTGTCCTGCAGGGCGTAGGAGCCGTCCGGGCAGATGAACTCGGTGTCGTCCACCTTGGTGAGGGAGGCGCGCACGAACTCGAGCGCCTGCTCCAGCGCGTAGGTGTCACGCGAGCACGTGTCCAGGATGTGCACGCCCAGCGTGACGCCGGGCAGCAGCGCCGGGTCCCGGTTGATCTCGTCGATGGCGAACAGCATGGCCTCCAGCCGCTGGATGCCGCGGCCCTCGTTGATGCGGCCGCACTCGTCCGTGCTGGCGCCCTTCTCATGCACCGGGAAGAGGCCCCCCAGCACCAGGTCACCGTCAATCTTGATCTCCCTTCTGGCGAAGCCCGAGTCACTGTGCAGGAGGAGGGGCCTGCCAAAGAGCGCCACCAGGAGGACGACATGGAGGCGGCAGGGCAGCATGGTGCAGAGGGGGCAGCGAGACACTCAGGAGGAGGAGGAGTGCATGGGGAGGCCGTCAGCTTCGGCACACGGTGTAAGGAGGGGCCACGCTGCACTCAGGCATGGAGGACAGCAGTGCATGGACCTGGAGGAGAGAGCACCACTCTGTTTATCACCATTCTAGCCACACAATTGCGGGGGCCTCTGGGGGCCCCCTGTTGGTCACACACAGTTATTACACGAAGTAGCAAATAAACGTTCCCTATTCAGGAGATGCTGAGGCAGCATGTCATGCTAACCAGCTAGTTAGATATAGTCTTCTTACTCTACTCATTAGATATTTCATTTTAGAAACATCTGGGGGGGGGGGGGACTCCAAAGTGACTCTTTGAGTGTCGCCCCAGAAAAAGCAAACCCACCACTGAAGATAATGAGGATGTATCTGACAAGGGCTACATCAGGACGGCATGGTCTTCGTTAATGCTGATTGGTGTTTGGTGGCTAATTGGTGCCCCAGCCCCGTGAGGTGCCCCAGCCGGTGAGGTGCCCGTCGCCACCGACGTGTTTCCCGTGGCTCAGTCGGCCAGCATGTGGGTGGCTTCCTTTGTTTCACATTCCCTCCATTCCCAAAATAACTATTTCCACGTCCTCTGAAGGGTTTTACATAAGACCTAAAGCACCCGTCGCCGATGCAGGATCAGAGCGCCGCGTGCTCAGCGTTCGGATCCGGGGGCTGGCGCAGCCGCCTTAATCCCGCTTCATCTGCTAGGCGGCACCATGGTGCATGGAAACAAAACTGTCTTTGCTCTTAAGGAGCACATCTGCAGCAGCTGGACCGGAGCCTCATTAGGGAGGACGTGGGAGAAACTGAGAAGTTCAGGCATGAAGAGAACAGGGCGCCGACATTCAGAGGCAGCCAGTGATGTCACATCGAGAGTGGACCGGGCTCAGGACCTCAGCTGCTAGGCTCAGAGACAGCTCTTCAGTAACTGGACCGAGACTGACGACACATACAGCCACAGGGCCAGAAGAATGTAAGAATAAACAGCAGAAGCAGGCAACGATGGCAGACAGCAAACAAAGGGAGTGCAGATGGCAGATGTGGGGAGTGCAGACAGCAGATACAGGCGCAGCAGATGCAGGTGGCGAGTGCGGACAGCAGACATGGGGAGTGTGGACGGCGTATGCTAGGAGTGCAGACGGCAGACAAGACGAGGAGTGCAGACGGCAGACACAGACGAGGAGTGCAGACGGCAGACACAGACGAGGAGTGCAGACGGCAGACACAGACGAGGAGTGCAGACAGCAGACACGGGACCTTGAAACTGCAAGGGGCTTGCAACCTCACATACACCAAAGACATCTCCATTTTCCTTTAATTCTTTATACATAAAAAATCAAGGTTCAAAAACAACTCCTAGGAAGCATTATGAGTTTTAAGAACATGATGAACCGGTTTTGCTCTCTAATCGCAGGGAGGTGATAGCGGAGCCCCGAAACTGTGGTGAGCCTTTGGCCACTTAGCAGAACCCCGAATCCGCAGTGAGCTTTTGGCCGTTTACCGAAGGCCGAATCCAGAGTGAGCTTTTGGCCATTTAGCAGAGCCCCGAATCCGCAGTGAGCTTTTGGCCGTTTACCGGAGGCCGAAACCGCAGTGAGCTTTTGGCCATTTAGCGGAGCCCCGAATCCGCAGTGAGCTTTTGGCCGTTTAGCGGAGGCCGAATCCGCAGTGAGCTTTTGGCCATTTAGCGGAGCCCCGAATCCGCAGTGAGCTTTTGGCCGTTTAGCGGAGGCCGAATCCGCAGTGAGCTTTTGGCCGTTTAGCGGAGGCCGAATCCGCAGTGAGCTGTTGGCCGTTTAGCGGAGCCCCGAATCCGCAGTGAGCTTTTGGCCGTTTACCGGAGGCCGAATCCGCAGTGAGCTTTTGGCCATTTACCGGAGCCCCGAACCCGCAGTGAGCTTTTGGCCGTTTACCGGAGCCCCGAATCCGCAGTGAGCTTTTGAAGCTGCCTGACGTCTCGTCCATTTTCCTGCCGACCGTCTCTGCTCTGAATGCTTCATTTCAACATCTTTTCATTATCGGCTTTAAAAAGCGCACTTGACTCCAAGGCCCTTTTTAATTTAATCTACAAATGCTTGTTTAGTTTGGCCGTCCTGCAGAATGAATCACTTATTTTGTCGTGTGGAGCACTGCATTAAACTCAGGATGGAATTAAACGTGACCACGGCCCCTGGGGGTAAGATGTGGGCTGCCTCGCTGCTGCCTGCTCCTATCTGTAGTGCATGTTAATAAACAGATCTTCAGGGGCCCTCTAAAGACTCGCTGACACGTCTCCTGCCAGATTCTTCAGTAGATCTGTCGCCATGTGTGTCTATCTGTGTCTGTGTGCCTCTCTTTGTGCATGTCTGCTTCTGTGTGTCAGATTCTGTGGGTGTGTGTCTCTGATTGTACGTCTGTGTGCGTTTCTCAGTGTGTGTTTCTGTGTCCTAGTGTATGAGCCAATCACAGGCCCATATGGGAGTTTATTAGCCAATAAAATCACCATCGTTATGCTGCAAAAACCCGCAGGTTCTCCCCACCATCTCCTGACCAGTACTCCTGATAGGGTGATTCCACAACAGGAAGATGAGGACCCCCCTTCTGATTGGAGCTGGTGTGGGTGATCTCAGTGGAGATACGCAGCTGGTTCTGCTGTCATCATCAGCCCCCATCAAGGTGGATGTACCTTTTCTTAGCTGTGACAGCTGTTCTGTTAGCTCTGACAAAGACGACATTATGTCATTTTGACTTTATGACTTAAGCAGGAAAGTGGGATGATGCAGACCTACCGAATGCGCCTGATGCTAATGGCTGCTAATGGTCTGAACAGCAGCAGCCATTCATCACACGTGCCAGAATCACCATCCATAAATGTACGGGATATACATTTCCTGCTGCTAGCATCTTTGCCTGCACTGAGTGTGCAAAATGCTAATGGCTGTAAGTAGGAGGTCAGAACCAGAATGCCGGCAGGTGGGCGTGTCCGGGCCCTTCAGCCCGCAGAGACGGCCCGCTTTGCCGTACTGAGAGCACGTGCGTGTCCGGGCCCTTCAGCCCGCAGCGGAGGCCCGCTTTGCTGTTCTGAGATCCGCCGGGCAGGCCTGTCTGGGTCCTTTATCAGTGTGCTCCCCAATACCTGACAGAGATTATCCCGAACCCCTCTGACCCCCGACTCTTATCAAGCAAAAACTCCCTAGTGCTGATTTGAATAAATCACTGCAACTGGAACTGGCAAGCATGTGATAAAGTGATCATCGCTGGCATTCAGGAAAAAAATGCTGATATCTACGATCATTTGCATAATTCTTGTGTTTCTGGATTCCTTTGGTGTAAAGGGTGACAGCTAGCAGTTTGCTTGCTAATAAATGCGAGTTTACCATATGTGTAGTACTCTTGTCATTTCTTGTGTAATGTTTTAATTGTTTTTAATGTTTTTAGTCAAAGATGGAAACTATAAACTGTATTATCGAATATTAGCATCTTAATGGCATAAGGCTGGAGACCATAGAGAAACCTGTGCTCCTTACCCTATAAATTTATCGAATGGTGACTGACATATTCTGCATCAGCGCAGTTCCATTCCCAGCGCCGGTACCGGGCCCTAGGCAGAATTCATTGTAATCGGACTCTACGGTGGGTGGTATTATACTAATCACTGGGGTTTACAGTGTTGCGAACTCGCATCTTTTGTGACACGCTTTCAGGTTCTCACGCTCATGTGAGAAATCTTAAGGTGATGATACACAGGGCAATTTGTTGTACAATGTTGCTGGGCATTTGCCATCCAGGTGAGACAAAGGGCAACTCATCTGGATCTGGATAATTGCAAATGTTTCACTGCCGATCAAAGTTTTCCAAATAGAAATGTGTTGTCTGATATCAATGACAAAGTTCCTGAGCAACATTAGTCAGCAACACTGCCGGGCAACATTGCCGGGCAACATTGCTGGGCAACATTGCTCAAAAGATTGTCATCTGTATTGTCACTTTTATGGCAAATCAGTTATAAACCTAAAATTAGTTACATCAAAAATGTTGGGGCAGTTTGCAAGGCCTACAGACTATGTACAAGGTAATAAAATCTTACATACATGTAAATGCATGTGCATGTGTGTGCAAACTTGTCTCAAATTGAAAATCTCACTCCAGCCAGCTGACCAAACTGAGAAACCCCGAGTTGATTCTCCAGAGGAATGCCCAACGTTTACCTTTTAAAAGTGGCTGCATTATGGTAAATGAATCCATGTCTTTAACTGCCACACCCCCTGCTGTCCTGCAGTGAAATGTTTAGGCATGCAGACTACATGTCTGCAACAGCTCACTGGCCACTGCAGAATTTGATGTTTCTTTTCTACTTTTCAGAATAAACAACAGAACAAATAATTTTTAAAAGCATGTATTTAGACAGGAATATTAATCAGGTATGTCCTGAATGAATACAGGGAAGAGAAAGCAAAAAAAATAAAAAATAAAATGAAATATAAATTAAAGACCAAATGTGACTGGTGTTCCTGGGTCTGGTCTTGTAAATGGGGAGATATGTATCAAATATTCATGGAGTGCCTGTTTAAAGCTTCGGACACAATGAGACAGAGAGCAGAAGGTGCTTTGTGCTACAGGGAAGGAGGTATGAAGCTCCTTCAGACACTGAGAGCCTGATCCCCCCCTGCTGTAGTGACTATGAATCAGAACAGGTAGTTCTCATCCTGACAAAGGCCAAAAGAGAGCATGACTGGCATTCCCTGAAGCACCTCCCTTATAATCCATCCATCCATCCATCCATCCATCCCTCTGCCAGACGCTTACCTGCTGCAGAGTCACGCCACGCCTGAAGCCTCTTCTTCACCATTCATTCATCTACATACTCATCAAATCAAACATCCATCATTAGACTATTAAGAACAACAGAAAGCTTACTCTACCCAGCCAGCCAACCATCAGAGAACTGCCTCTCAGAAGTAAACAAGATAATAACAGTGGAACATTAAGAACATAGATAGAGAGAAGCTCTGATACTGTTCCAGGTCTCCCAGGAACATTTGAATTTGGGGTTGGTAAGCGAAGTTCTACATGGGAGCTTGCCTGGTCCTGGACACCATGCTGAAGGTCTTGACCTCTACAGCTGCTGTGAATAATCGGAAGGACCCCTGGATGGGCAGGGTGCCCTGCATCATGCTGGCAGTCATGGAAACAGCTCAGGGGAGCAGAGGCGGGCATTTCAGGTCCAAAAAGTAAAAATCCAGACCAGGATTTTGTTTCAACCAACCAGTTGAGTACTCTGCGACTGTGACACTTTATACACAACTGGTTGGTTGAAACAAAGTCCTGGTCTGGATTTTTACTTTCTGGACCTGAAATGTCCACCTCTGCAGGGGAGGTGCGATCGCTCCCACTCGGCTTAAAGAAATCTAGTGGCATAGAAGACAAGTGTCACACCAAAGGCTTTGAAAACCAGGCTTATTTTTGGATTCATGCAGATTTACATAGGATTAAACTTCCTTTCAGAAAGATATAACGCTACTGAACTAGTACCTCTAATTAATATGGATGTAAATGACGTTCTACACTCCATTTGTAGCCCCCAGGTTCCCCTGTGTTGCATTTCCTGCTTGATCTGCATCACGCTTCTTCTGACTTGTCTGGTGTCTGGTGGTGTCTGGCTCAAAGGGTTGTGACACTGTGTCTGCAATTGGAAGGTTGCTGGTTCAAACTCCCGGGTTGGCAGAGTGATTTCACTATTGGGCCCTTAACCCTGATCTTTGGAAGGCCTGAACAATCTATCTCCTCGGCTGCAATTATGAGCCAAATGCTTGGATGCTCTCTGCAGACACTTTATTAAAACCTGCTTGACTAAAGGAACAGGAATCCTAAATAGGTTTTTTTTTCCCATTCAGACATTTTAATTACAAACGCTACACACGCATACTGAGGAAAATCGGACAAATCCGAATGTAACGCATGCGACCTCTGCCAGGCACAATAGCTGCTCATTTCTCAAGACGCAGACTTTGGTGCAGCTGAATGGAGCTACTCCACTCAAAGGCTTTGGCCTGGCCTGCAGATTAATGAGAACTTTCACACAGTCACTTTGCACACCCTACAGGCCCCGTTTACCCCCCAACGCTGCCTCCCAGCGTTGCTAGCCATCGCTGTTTAGTATAAGAGCACTCTGCTGACTGGAATATCGACTGGCAAGGGGCCCCCATTGGGGACTGGCCCCTGCTTGGCCCCTCTTG